GTTCTGATAGCTGGAAAAGTTATTGCAAAATACAGTTCCTTGAAAGAGTATTCACACCCCTTGAAATTTTCCACATTTTGTCATGTTACAACCAAAAACATAAATGTATTTTATGTGATAGACCAACACAAAGTGGCACATAATTGTGAAGTGGAAGGAAAATGATAAATGGTTTTCAAAATTTTTATACAAATATCTGGAAAGTGTGGCGTGCATTTGTATTCAGCCCCCCTGAGTCAATACTTTGTAGAACCACCTTTCGCTGCAATTACAGGTGCAAGACTTTTTGGGTATGTCTCTACCAGCTTTGCACATCTAGAGAGTGAACATTTTTGCCCATTCTTCTCTGCAAAAAAAACTCAAGCTCTGTCAAAATGGATGGACAGCATCTGTGAACAGCAATTTTCAAGTCTGGCCACAGATTCTCAATTGGATTTAGGTCTGGACTTTGACTGAGCCATTCTGACACATGAATATGCTTTGATCTAAACCATTCTATTGTAGCTCTGGCTGTATGTTTAGGGCTGTTGTTCTGCTGGAAGGTGAACCTCTGCCCCAGTCTCAAGTCTTTTGCAGACTTTAACAGGTTTTCTTCTAAGATTGCCCTGTATGTGGCTCCATCCAGCTTCCCATTAACTCTGACCAGCTTCCCTGTCCCTGCTGAAGAAAAGCAAACCCACAACATGATGCTGCCACCACCATGTTTCACGGTGGGGATGTGCAGTGTTCGTTTCCCGCCACACATAACATTTTGCTTTTAGACCAAAAAGTTCAATTTGGTTTCACCTGACCAGAGCACCTTCTTCCACGTTTGCTGTGTCCCCCACATGGCTTCTTGCAAACTGCAGACGGGACTTTTTATGGCTTTCTTTCAACAATGGCTTTCTTCTTGCCACCCTTCCCTAAACCCAGATTTGTGGAGTGCACGACTAATAGATTCTCCCACCTGAGCTTCGGATCTCTGCAGCTCCTCCAGTTACCATGGGCCTCTTGGCTGCTTCTCTGATTAATGCTCTTCTTGCTTGTCCGTTTAGGTGGGCAGCCATGTCTTGGCAGATTTGCAGTTCTGCCATACTCTTTCCATTTTCAGATGATGGATTGTACAGTACTCCATGAGATGTTCAACCCTTGGGATATTTTTTTTTTATAACCTATCAGTTGAATATAAGTGATGCACATTGATGTGTTCAAGGGAAAAACTTTCTGACATCCTCACCATATGTGTAAATGGGAACCCACTTCCTCTGTGCACCTCCAGCATATGTTGGGGGTGGAGGGGAACATGCAATTTATATCTGCTGGGGTTCTGTACCATGAAGATACTATCTTGTAACTTTTTGTCCTGAAAATATGAGGACATTGAAAGCTTATGTGTAAAAATGAAGCATTTCCTCCAGTGGTCGATGAAGAGTTGAGTGCCCAACAGATTTTTTCACATTGCGATGAAAAGGGGATTTGCAGTGGTTCCCTCTCTCAATATGCCGTAAAGCTGGGAAACAGTATGGTCAGGGGAGGTATCCTGGGAGAGGAGCTTTTCTAGGGAAATACATAAAAAAATTGTATAGGATCCATTCGGTATTTCTGGAGAAAGGCTGCTAATTGGATCAGGAGAACCAGTGACAACTGCGAGAGGAGGCAGTTGGAAGGCAGAATGAGTCTTATAAACTGTATAGTCAGGGAGGAAGTGGCATAATTGAGGCCATTCTGTTCAGGACGGAACTTGTATTGTAGTGGTGTGAGCTTCCAGTCCAAGAGAGAGGATTATAAAACATAGGTTTTAACGGAGCTGGTCTATGAGTTAGGCCACATGATAAAACAAAACTGTCCCAAAGAGAAAAGAGAGGTTGAGCTAAAAAAGGAGAGAAAATGGAGGACAGTGTAAATAAGGAATCCAAGGAAGTGGGAAAGGTGCTGCTCGAATTGTCTCAATCTTTTATCTGGTCTGTGGTAAAACCAGTCATCCACTCGGTTAGGCAGAGACACGCAATGCTACAGTTCAAAACTGGGGAGTCCCAGGCCCCCTGCTGGTTTTGGTTTAGTGAGGACAGCCAGTTTAAGGCAAGGACAACGTTGACACCAGAGCACTTTGTATTGAGTGAACTCATTCACTGAATGCAAAGACTTCTGAGAATGAACAAGGGAGGGGTGACCAGAGCTGCTGTGTCTGTGCAATGCCACAAAAAAGCCCGGTGAGGAGTGTCAAGGTGTTGTCAGGCATATTGTAACCATGCTTTTTTGTGGCATGGCGCAGTAAAGGCTTCTGGTAACTTGACTATACAGTTCATTTTTGTTCAAGTATTTGTTGTATTGTGCTCCTAAACCACTTCAAGGCCGGACACTTTTACCCCCTTCCTGTCCAGGCCAATTTTCAGCTTTCAGCACTATCACACTTTGACAACTGCGCGGTCATGCGACACTGTACCCGTATGAATTTTTTAGCATTTTTTTTAGACAAAACTTTATTTTGGTGGTATTTATTCACCATTTTGGGTTTTTTTTGTTATATAAATGAAAAAGTAAAAACATTTTGAAAAAGTGTTTCTTGTAAAATTTTGCAAATAAATAATCTTTCTTCATAAATCTTGGCCAAAATGTATTCAGTTATCATTTTAGCAAAAAATAAAAACCCAAATTAGTTTATAACCAAAAATTATTATAATTGTTAAAAAAAATGTTTTACTTTTTTTTTTTTTAACATACTGTCACCCTAGCAGTATAGTGTCACACCATAATGACACTGTACTACTTTGGGGAGTTATGAAGATATATTTTTTTTTTTTACACTGATTGCTTTTACAGCCTTTATGGGTGTAAAAGCAATCGTTTCTCCTTCTCTCTGGCTGCATTCTTGCAGCCATTGAGAAATACTGTGTGAGCTGTGATTGGTCACAGCTTGTCACATGGTACAAGGCTGTTGTGAATAGCCTTGTACCATGTGACCTCTGTGATCATTCACAGATTTCACACATAGTAAGCAATGATTTCACAAGTGACATCTTGCTTACTACTCTGCATGTCATCACTGATTGGCCAATTAGTGATCACATGATCGGGACCTCACACAGAGGTCCTGTACAACGATCGGTGTTCCACTGTGTACGGAGGATACAGCGGGCACTGGACTGCGGTGCTGCGCCCTCCCGGGGAGCGCGCACAAGCAGGGGGCGGGGAGGCTGTTTATAAACTGCCACCCGCCCCCTGCACTGCCACTGTCCGGCCGTTTATATACATGGGCCGGACGGGAAGTGGTTAAAAAACAAAAAACACACCTTTTTCCAAAGCAGCCTGTATTTCTCCTGAGGTTACCTGTGGCACCTGAGGTCACTTGTGACATCATTGCTTACTATGTGTGAATTCTGTGAATGATCACAGAGGTCACATGGTACGAGGCTATTTACAACAGCCTTGTACCATGTGACAAGCTGTGACCAATCACAGCTCACTCAGTAGTTCTCAATGGCTGCAAGAATGCAGACAGAGAGAAAGAGAAATGATTGCTTTTACATCCTATATGGGTGTAAAAGCAATCACTGTAAAAAAAAAAAAAAATCTTCATCACCCCTCACAAGTAGTACAGTGTCACCATGGTGACACTGTACTGCTAGGGTGACAGTATGTAAAAAAAAAAAAAAAAAATACTAATATAAAAACAAAAAAATGTTTAAAAATTATAATTTTTGGTTATAAACTAATTTTGGCTTATTTTTTTTTCTTTACTAAAAAGATAACGGAATACATTTTGGCCAAGATTTATGATGAAAGATTATTTATTTTCAAAATTTTATAAGAAAAACAATTTTTTTTTTTTCAAAATTTTACATAGCAAAAAAAATTAAAATCCCAGCGGTGAATAAATACCACCAAAATAAAGCTTTATTTGTCTAAAAAAAAATGGTAATTCATATGGGTACAGTGTTGCATGACTGCGCAATTGTCATTCAAAGTGTGATAGCGCTGAAAGCTGAAAATTGCCCTGGACAGGAAGGAAGTAAAAGTGTCCAGACAGGAAGTGGTTAAAAATCATACAATATGATTCCCTGAATTTTTTTTTTTTTTAATTCTGTCTCTCAGAGTGGGAATGCACCTACAATGTGAATTTCAGACCCCTCCACGATTTCTAAGTGGGAGAACTTGCAAAATCGCAGGGTGTTCAAATACTTCCGTTCCTCGCTGTATTTGGGTGATTTCTGTTATCATTATGATTTAAATAGAAGCCAAACAACTATAATATAATAAATGGTTTCATATGATCACTATCCTTAAATAAAAGACAGTTTTTTATCATGATCAGTCATATTTTCAATTTAAAATTCAAAATTGCACAATTTCTGCCAGGGTATGCAAACGCTTGGGCACAACTCTACGTACATACACAAATAAACACATACATAGGCATACAAACATACACATATAAAATGCACATTCACATACTTGCGTACATACATACACAGGCATAAAAACACACACACAGTTGTGACATTCAACCCCCCAATGCTGTATAGGGTACACATATATTCAGAACATCAAATCCCCTGCTTGAGAAAATGCTCAATTTGCTTATGAATCAGTTCAATGTTTCTTCTCACACCTGTATACTCCTATGGACTAGCTTTTTATCAGGTTTTTTTACATTTCCACTCTGTGATACTTTTTTTTTTTTTTTGTCTAGGACAAACAAGGATTTATTTGGTGATAATATATTTTATATGCATTTCTATGCCCAAAAAGATTGTGCTCATTTTTTCTGCTTTGCGTATGCCATCAATTTGTTTTTAAATAATTTGTGTTAGTGTAAGATTAAAAGTATACCTTTTATTCTGTAATTTGTTCTGCTTATAATGACACTAAAATTACGATTTTAGTACAAAGTATTACAAATGAAGATTTTGTTGAAATTCTGTTTTTCACTAAAAATGAACTTGTCCTTTAATAGTTTAGAAATGAAGCTGAACTCTATGTATTCACCACATTTGTTCTTGTTACTCTTTCAGGCTGACAGAATGTATGCAAATAGGAAACCTGCATATGATAGCAAGGAAGTAGATTTTGAGAGCGATGTGACAGAACTGGAAACATTTGGATCCATGAAAGTTGATAAGTCAGATGCTGCGCAGTCTGATAACAAGTCTCCAGATTTCTTAACACAGCCTCCTACCTACTCCCAGCTAGATGAGAAGAAAGAGGCTATAAAAAAACATACACCAAGTTAAGCTAGGTAATCAAGATTTATTAACTTTATAATTAATTTACAATGTCTCTAATACAATAATGATACCATGGATTTCTCAGCATCAGTGTGTTTCCCCAGAGCTGCCATTTAGCTTGAAACTTTCAGTGTAGATTTGAGTCTGATGGATGACTTGAGGAAGCGACTCTGTTTCTTGATAAAAACATATTAATACATCAGACCTTATGCTTTTTCTTTTTAAGGTCTTGATTCAGAGAGAATTGAACAAGAAAAGAGCGGCTGGCACATGTCTGAAACGAGCTGTAAACCACAAATTATCCAGTCCTTCACCAGCAGTGAGACTTACAGTGATTCTGACGAGGACAGACTTGTGATTGATGATGACTTAAACAAAAGCATTGGGGAGAGCCCTTCTTTAGTGAGCAAGGCTACCACTTCCTCACCTGCACAAATACTGCAACAGCCACCCAAAAAGAAATCTCGGAAGATTTCAAGTGATGTTGACCCACTGGGGCAGATTCTGAAAATGCAAACACAGCTTCTGAAGCCTGGGACAAAAAAGATGGAGCACACAAGCACAGCAAATGCAGGGAAGAATGAACAACTGTCTCAAAACCCAGCACGCCGCCAGCCTGCAGTCAGTTTGGTTACTGATTCATCACAGGAGAGAAATGAAACTGCTGATCACTCCAGGAGTAATGAAAAATGTAGGTTTTATCACCCCTGTGTTTCTCATTTCTTCACCAATATCTTGCCAGAATATGGATGTTATATTTACAGCATTTGAATTGGAAAGGTTAGAACCCGTGTCATTATTTTATTCCTGATTCTAACTTATTTTCTATCCCAGAAACACTTCAAGAAGTGGGAGGAAATTCCCAAAAAGTGGGAAGAAATTTTATTTTAACAATTGTCACTTGAGCAGGTGCTCTCTATTGGGAGATGTTCCCTAAGTTCCTGGTCCAGTGACAGATGTGGAATTTTTGATTTCCTCTCACTTTCTATTTTAGTAGCCATGGTCACCAGGACAGAAAGTAAAAGCGAAACTCTGAAACAAGGACACAAACAGCAGAGCTTTTAACTCTTTCTCACGCCAACCAAAAGTAGAAAAAAATTCTGTTAGAGTTCCACTTTATATCAGCTACCATCACCATGGATTACAACTGGGGAGACTGAGATAAACTTTTTTGAATCTTTGGCCTGGCTGTTTGTAAACCTCTACAGCCATTCTGTAAAATGTGTGAGTAGCCACAGAAATTATTTATATTAAAGTGGAAATAAACCCTCCTATCCTTTTCAGCCAAGGAAACTATCATCTTAGCCTCTATTTGATCTCCAGCTGCCATGATGCTGCACATATGACTAGTTATGCTACCATCTACTTAATGGTTTGACAGTTTTGTTGAGAGCACAAGTGTGACTGTTACATTCCCAGCATGTGTGCGGAATGTAACTTTTTTTAAACTGTTAAATCGATAGATTTAGTTCCGCCTAGTTAGCCTAGGTTTACACATATGTGGTTTAAAATCGCCGAGATTTGGAGTGCGATTGAGCATTGCAAATTAGATGTGTTTTTGTTTGAACAGCAATGCGTTTTTAATACGATTTTACACTCTCTATGCACACTACACTAAACCCTGTGCCAAGGAAAAGCAATGACAAATGCATTGTATTATGATTGTTTCCATTCAAATCTATAGACTTCAGTATGCCAAACTCATGCAGGACCCTTTCTCAAAAACACAATGTGACTGTACCGCATGTATCTGAATGATCAATAGAAACACATTCAATTTTACTTGTCATGTAAATCCAGACTTATCAAATCCAAAAATGCACTTGTGTGAACCAGGACTTAATGTTCTATTGAGTAGCAGCCCCGTGTTATATATGCCATGGCAGGTGAGTCTTTCAGTTCCAGTACATATATAAGTTCTCTAAAACTTGCACGTGTGTTTGCATTTTTTTTTTTTTTTTTTTGTAACTGCTGGTGCAAGTAGTTAGCATCCACATTGTCATGTATGGTCTTCTCCATGGCCATATCTGACCAAATAAACCTTTTCCTAATGTCTCTGCCTAACTGGCTTTTGCAGTTTTCCCATTTGCTATGCTACTTTATATATATCTAACAAGAGTCTTTTCCTTTTAGTTTTGCTGTCTAATGATCTCTTGGCGTTGAAAGAGAATGAGAATGAGTACACAGTGCAACCCACTGAGAACCTTGTATACAAACTCTTCAATCTAGATGACATCCTCCTGCTGCTTCAGAGCACTGTTCATACTAATCTTACAGCAAGGTGCCGAAATGCTGAAAAAAGTGACTAAAAAGGTGGGTTGTCTCTACTTACTGGACAGAAGTAACCCCGGTATTTTTTCACTGCTATGAAATATATAAAGCTAGAACAAAAGCACAAAGCTAATATTCAATACATTGTTATACCTTTTGGCACTGATAAATCAGGGGAAAGCTACTTTTAGACACAGGTAGTCGGTTGCCCTAACCACTTAAAAAATTGTATACATGTGTGTTCCACTGGCATGTTAATTAATATGGCCTAGCCATGCATGCTCTTCTGCACGTGCTCTATTTTATGGAAAACAGTAGTGATTGGCTTAATCTATATGAACCTTCCATTAGCATATTTCCACAAGAATCTCTGGGGCTGTCTGCTGCTACCCACAGAAATTTAATTATTCAACTTGTTATTACAGTGTATCACACCATCATTAATCATAAGGAAGTCTACTTACAGATTGTGGTTTTAGCGACAGGATAATATAGGGGTTAAAGAGGCGCTCCACTTAGAAGTGGAAGTTTGGCTTTAAGTACCGGTTCCTCACTCCTCATGAGAAATTGGCATATTTGGGGAGCGGGTACACAATTTTGACATGTACACCCTCTCACTTCCACTGTGATCGGAAGCGGCAATTGTCCTCCTTGGAAGACGTTGTCAGTGTACCCTGGAGCAAAATCTAGGTGACCGATAATGGGCGTCAGTGGGGAGGGAAAACTAGGCTAATTTAAAGTACCGACTAAGTTCAAGTAGCATCGATTCTATCAAGGGGTGAGTGATGAATGCTGGAAAGTAGGGCGTTAGACCAGGGAAGTCCGGCCAGAGGGAAAGATACGAAGTCCTGTTCCAGGGAGACCCAGAGCTTGTAAGAGGAGCGCTTGCACCAGTCAATTACATGAGCCATGTGCCCTGTGGTGCAATGTAGGGCAGGATCCGGAAGGCCTACACCCCCTCGAAGCTTGGATCTTTTGAGTTGGACGATCTTCTTTGTCAGACATATTTAATGAAGGCTGCCCTGAGCGCCCAGAAATACTTTTTGCGGTATTTTAATGGGGAGAGCCTGCAGAAGGTATAGTAGACATGGCACAATATTCATCTTGGGAAAATTCCACCAGCCAGAGCAGGAGACAGCCAAGTAATGCCATTTCTCTAGATCAGTGGTTATGGTGGACATTAACGGCTGGAAGTGTAATTGGAAAAATGGAGTTGAAGATTAGAAGGGATTTTAGTACCCAAGTATTGGATGGCTTGAGAGGCCCAGTAGAAGGGGAAATTGCCACTGAGGTTATTGAGGGCCCTGGGTGCGAGAGTGACATTGAGTGCTTTTAATTTTTGCAGATTCACTTTAAAATTTGACAGCTCTCCATAGGTATGTAATTCCAATAATAGGACTGATAGGGAGGTCATTGGATCTGTGATATAAAAAAGCAGGTCATCTGTGTACGCCGTGACCTTGTGATGGTATGTGTCAGTTGTCAGACCTTTTTTATTGTTTTTTTTTTTTTTTATATAAAACTTTTTCTACACTGTGTCTTTAAATGTTTTCCTTTTTTTTTTCTCAACTTTTTTGTTTTCACAAGCGATGAATAACATACCTTGTGATAGCATGGGCCATGACATGTCCTCTTTATAGAGAGATCTGGGGTCTATTAGACCGCAGATCTTTCCTCTGGCCTCCAATGCAGCCGATTAGACACAGATCAGTCTGACCGGCTGCTTTCCTGGCCACGAACGGCCAGGTAAACAAAGAGCCAAAACCGGAGGTGACAAAATCCTAGCTGTTTCCAGTTTCTGAAAAAAAAGAAAATGTTATACAGGAAACTGAGTAACAGGTAAAAAAAAAAAAAAAAAAAAAAAAAAGGAAGGGACCTATCATCAAGCACTACCCTACTCCCAAACTTACATGTAAGCTAAACAATCCCTGCTATACCATCACGAAGTCGAATGACGAATGTAAATGTTAGTTTTCTAATTGTTTTTACGCAGTAAAAGATTTTAAATGGTTTTACGCTATGGGAGCTCCCCTCTTCTTATTGAACTATAGTGAATGATCTTTTCTGAGAGGTCTCTTGAGAAGGGGATTGTTAACCTGCAGATCTTTACTTCCAGAGTGTAACACGCTATTAGCTGGTTTATAATATTACCAGCATTGAGCTCTGGTAAGTTTATCTAGTATCTAGAACATTAAGAAGAAGTATGGATAAATGTATTTTTATGGTGGACATTACAAACACGTACACATTCTTTATTTGTTTGTAGATATTACACATTACTGGATCATTATTACATGAACTTTATATGAATTTGTGTGTTCGCACATTGCATGTGGCACCTTATTATTGTATTTTTATTGCATGAAGTATTTTTTTTTAGATTTTTTTTTTTCTTTTTGCACATATTGATATATGTACAGTGGATATAAAAAGTCTATACACCCCTGTTAAAATGTCAAGTTTCTGTGATGTAAACAAACAAGACAAACATTTATTATTTATTTCAGGTACTTATTTAGCGCCATCAGTTTACACAACGCTTTACATATATATTGTACATTCACATCAGTCCCTAACCCTCAAGGGGCGTACAATCTAAGGTCCCTAACTCACATTCATACATACACATACTAGGGCCAATTTAGACAGGAGCTAATTCACCTGCCAGCATGTCTTTGGAGTGTGAGAGGAAACCGGAGTACCCGGAAGAAACCCACATATGCACAGGGAGCACATGCAAACTCCAGGCAGGAGGTGCCATGGCTGGGATTCGAACCAACGACCCTAGTGCTGCCAGGCGGAAGTGCTAACCATTTAGCCACTGTGCTGCTGCAAAGATAAATCATTTCAGAACTTTTTCCACCTTTTAAAGTAACCTATACACTGTACAACTCAGTTGAACAACAAACTGAAATCTTTTAGGTGGAGAGAAGTAAAAATAAAAAACTAAAATATGGTTGCATAAGTGTGCACACCCTTAAACTAATACCTTGTTGAAGCGTCTTTTGATTTTATTACAGCACTCAGCCTTTTTGGGGGTATGAGTCTATCAGCATGGTGCATCTTGACTTGGAAATATTTGCTCACTCTTCCCTGCAAAAACACTCTAAAGCTATCAGATTGTGAGGGCATCTCCTGTGCACAACCCTCTTCAGATGACCCCCACAGATTTTTGATTAGATTCAGGTCTGAGCTCTGGCTGGGGCATTCCAAAACTTTAATCCTCTTCTGGTGAAGCCATTCCTTTGTTGATTTGTATGTATTCTTTGGGCCATTGTCATGCTGAAAGATGTTCATCTTCATGTTCAGCTTTCTAGCAGAAGCCTGAATGTATTGTGCCAATATTGACTGGTATTTGGAACTGTTCATAATTCCCTCTACCTTGACTAAGGCCCTTGTTCCAGCTGAGGAAAAACAGCCCCAAAGCATGCTTCACCACCACCATGCTTCACTGTGGGTATGGTGTTCTTTTGATGATGTGTTGTGTTTGCGCCAAACATATCTTTTGAAATTATGGCCAAAAAGTTCAACCTTGGTTTCACCAGACCAAATTTAGCTGGGCTTGGATGTTTTTCTTCGTTAGAAAAGGCTTCTGTCTTGCCACTCTACCCCACAAACATATGAAGCCACACAGCCAGTACTTGCCAGATATTCCTGCATCTCCTTTAATGTTACTGTAGGCCTCTTGGCAGCTCCCCAGACCAGTTTTCTTCTCGTCTTTTCATCAATTTTGGAGTGAGGTCCAGTTCTTGGTAATGTCACTGTTGCGCCATATTTTCTTCACTTGATGATGACTGTCTTCACTGTGTTCCGTGGTATTTCTAATGCCTTGGAAATTCTTTGATACCCCTCTCCTGACTGATATCTTTTAACAATGAGATCCTTCTGATGCTTTGGAAACTCTCTGTGGACCATGGCTTTTGCTGTAGGATGTGACTAAGAAAAATGTCAGGAAAGGCCTACTAGAACAGCTGAACTTTATTTAGGGTGAATCAGAGGCACTTTAACTGATGGCAGGTGTGTACTGACTCCTATTTAACATAATTTATGTGATTGCTTAATTCTGAACACAGCTACATCCTCAGTTATAAGAGCGTGTGCACAGTTATGCAACCACATTATTTTAGTTTTTTATGTTTACTCCCCCCCTAAAAGATTTCAATTTGTTTTTCAATTGAGTTGTACAGTTTATAGGTCACATTAAAGGTGCAAAAAGTTCTGAAATGATTTATCTTTGTCTAATTTTTTTACATCACAAAGTCCTGACATTTTAACGGGTGTGTAGACTTTTTATATCCACTGTATGTTTACAGTAATTTGATATGGTAGGGATTGTTTAGATTATATTTAACATTGGGAATAGGGTAACTCTGTTCATTTTGCATATTGTTTCCAGCTTCTGGGGTCACAGAGAGGGGGAGGAACAACATCAGTTTCTCTGTCTCTGTATGGTAGAGCCATTGCCACTGGTCACAGTGGTCCCAGACTCCCTGATTGGATGGGAGAGCCTGGGAAAGAGTGGCGGGAGGGGGGGAACCCCTTCCGCACCCTCAGAACAGAACAGCCAGTCGAATCACTTCTGCTTTATAGGGAAACGCTGGTGGAAAATTTTGATACCAGTATGATGCCTACAAGTGCAGGCATCATCCCGATATAACCACTTCCTTCCCAGGACGTAATACAATGTCTACCCAGGGGAAATGGATAAATATCGCATGCATTCATTTTTTTATTTTGGGTATTTAACACATTATTTTACATGTTATTTTACTACAGACTGGACGTTTTGGTTGCCGCGGGAAGTGAAACATCTAGCAGTGGTATTCCTACCACTGCTGATTTTGAAAGTTCCAGCTCAGGGGTGCTGGTTGTCAGAGAGCTGGCACCTGTCGGCATTGCTGACCTGAAACTATCACATATAGCAGTGGTTGGCGTACCGCTGCCAAATGTTTCATCTCTTAATTAATGCATTCGATAAACAGTGAGTGGATAGACTACAAGGTAGTTAACAAACTATTTTTTTTTCAGTGAATTCACTTTAA